CTCTTCAGGCCTGCAGCGAGCACCATAGCCCAGGTGTCCCATCCATCTGGACCGAGTACATCGCTAACCAGCTGTCTGATTTTGCGGATGCATTGCCTAAACTTGGTGTTCTGGAGTTGCTGAGGCGGGGGGCAGATTTAACTCTCTGTCAACTGGATTGGTTTTACACCACCTGGAGAAGATCACATCCATCTTCCCTAGGAGGCAGGGATGGGATGGTGAGCAGTGGGTCGTGAGATTTCCCGGAGCTGCTACTGCCAGGATGTGAGGAAGGCTCATGGTAGCGGGACAGGGGCTTTCCACAAAAGTGCAGCGGTGATGGCCACCCCTGAATGCCAACCCGTTCTCCCTTCCCTTCATCCTCTTGCCACCGCCTTAGCCAAAGGCTGTCATCCTGATCGGTACAGTAATCTCCTGGGATGACACCGAAACAAACGGTGTCTTCTTATCTGCTAGGAGATGAATTCCTCCAACACAGACACCCATCCTTGAGGGTCAGAGCATGGTTTCAAGCATTAACATATTTACTGAACTTGGTCTATTCTAGACCTGGGGTGCTGTGGTGAGTAAGGCAGATATACTTGCTGCCCGCAGACAGTTCACAGCGTGGGAGCAAGGCAGATAACAAATGATTTTAATCAGTGGCGTGTGGCATAAAGGAAATGAATAGGGTTATGTGACAGGTTGAGGTGTTAAAGGAGGCCTCTCTGAGACCCAAAAGAGGAGAGGAGCAGCTGGCCATACAGGCCAGGGGAAGAGCTTAACAGGCAGTGGGAAAAGCATGTGCAAAGGCCCTGGGGCAGGAAGAAGTTTGGCTGGTTTGCTGAGGACCAGCAGAGACTAGTAGGTCTGAAGTGGAGTTACTGAGGCAGAGGGTGGCAGTTGGGTTCTCTGGGGGGGCTTTGTCGGGATTTGGGGTTTTATCTTGAGTGTAATCCTGAGTTTTATCCTGAGGCCCCAGCTGCTGGAGGGTTGAAGCTGCAGAGTGCTAGAAGCTGTGAATGGAGAGCAACAGAAGTGGGACCAACAGGACTTCCAGATGGCTTGGCCCCGAGCACAAAGGAACCCAGAAGGACTCCTCAGTGGTGGTGGTGGTCAGCCTGGGCAGCTGGATGAATAGCAGAGCTGTCGACAGAGATGCAGAGGGAGAGGGTGTGTGCGGGTGAAGTCTCCCCCACATGAGGTGGAGAATGTCCCCTGTGCCCAGTCTGCGGCTGTAGCCGAGGGGCTGCTCTGCCTTCACTCGTGCTGTTGGGGTGCTGCTCCCTCAGGAAGGGTCCAGAAGCAGAGAAGAGCGGCCTGCCCTTCTGGGGAGGTCAGAGTGGTCAGGCACCAGCTGGCTGCTTCTTGTTTCCGGTAGATAATGTGTCTGGTAGAACCAGGCTAAGCTTTGCCTGCATGGGGGGCCGACACTCCCTTGGCCCAGCTCTGAGAAGGGGGTCCTGGCCATCTCCCTGCCCTGGTCTGTGCCCACGGACATGTACCACTTCCGCTACGGGCCACTGCAACCTCGCCCGCCTCCACCCCTCTCTGCCCTCCAACCTGCCCTCTCCCTCTCTGGACCCCCGCCAACCCCTGAGGTTTGCAATGAGAATTTGGGGAAACTGCGGGGGAACTCTTGGTAGAGGGCCTGCAGGTGGAGAGCCACCCCTCCCAACTCAGCTTGGCTGCCCCCTCCTCCAGGAAGCCTTCTGGGTCCCCAACCCTCCCGCTGATGGTCCCACTGTGTATCTCCTGGACCAGGCCAGGGTGGGTTCCTTGAGTGGCTGTGGGATGTGTGTGAGATGAGTGCTTCCTGGGCTGGATCCCCGGGATTGGGGGTGGGGTCTGCAGAGCCTGGCTCCTCTGCATTCCCAGGGGACCTCAGCGTGGAGATGGCCTGAGAGGCCCACACCTGGGCAGCACCAGCCCCTTGGACCTCCTCCCCATCCACACTCCCAGCCTCAGAGCCTTGGGGAGAAGTTCTGGCTGGTCAGGGCCCCTGCCTGGGGCCCTGAGAGGCTGCAGGAGCCCAGCAGGGTCACTGCACCCCGAGGAAGGACTGCACGGTCCACACCAAGAGACAGGCATATCTCGTTTATTCCCCACCCCCCCAAACTTCCAGGTAGTTCTACGAAGACATTAGATGTGAAGCCACACAGAGGCTGTCCCTTAAACGCAGAAATGAGCTTGAAACAATCAAGTGACCAGAAAGGATTGTGTCAGCCCAAAGATGGACTATCTCCTTCAGGGCCACAGGGCAGCCAGACAAGAGAAGTTGTCGCAAAGAGGGAAGTTTGGACGGATAGGGGCGGAGGCTGGGCAAGGGTGCCCTCATGTCCACCAGTGCCAGGAGATGCCTGATTCTGTGCCCCGCACCAGGCAGAGCCCCCAGACTCCACTTTCAAGGGGCGGGTCCTGGACCCACACTGGCTGCACCTATGCAAGGAGGACGGGAGAAAGACAAGGCAAACCCAGCCCCGAGTGAGGTGTACAGAGCTGTTCCTCGTAGTGCAGAAGGCCCAGAGTGGCATGGGGTGCAGTGCCACGGGGGTCACAGATGTTCCGGGGGTCAGGGGCGTGCCCGGCCTGCATGCTCACCACCCTTCGGCTCTGTGGCCCTCCCATGGCGGGCTGGGGGACGAGCCCAGCTCAGGCCCTGCAGACCTCTGGCCGCGGGGCCATCTCCAGGCTGGGGAGCTGGAGGGGGCAGCGTGTTTGGAACAGACTGGGCTTGGGGACTGAGGACCCCGGCCTGGGCACACTCTCAGGCTTGGCCACCACCCCAGATCCTCCCGACCTACCTTCCGGGGACAGGCTTCCTGATGTGGGACCCCCAGTGGGCTTGCCCGTGAGATTTCAAATCCACGCACGGCTGGTGTGTCCTCACGAAGCCATTTAAAAACCCACACCCTTAGTAGGCCACAAGGTGAGTTTAAAGCTAGCAAGAAATGCCAGGGTTTAAAATCGTGCTGCACCTTCTCTCCTGGGTGAAGGCAGGCCTTGGGGCGCTGTGCCCCAACCCCTGCAGCTGAAATTGCCAGATGAAGAGATTTTGCTAATGATTTAAGCACAAGTGTCTTTAAAGAAATCTATGGAACATTACTGCAGAGGAAAACAGGACTGCCCAGCGTCAGGGGTGAAGCAGCCATTCGGTGGGGCGTCAGGTCCCGTTGGGGAGGCGAGGCCGCTCACACGGGCCCCTCTCTGCCCCACCAGCCCGCTTCCTCTGGCCGGCGCCCTCCTCTGCCTCGGTCTCGCTTGCCTCCCGTGGTCTCTTCCGGAAGCGCGCCCCAGGCCTGCTTTTGGGGGGCGGCAGAGGGTCGATGCCCAGGATCTTGTGGATCTGCCGGAACGCCAACATGCGCAGGGCGTGCTGGGGGCAAACGACCCGTCAGGACCCTTCTGCCTGCGGCCTCCTGGCCCGCCTCTCATGGCCCCGTGCGGACTCGGGGGGCTTGCTGGGCATCCTCGACACCCTTCTAGCAACTGCAGAGCTCATGTCACCCTTGGGCATGAAGAACTGTACTGGGAGTTGCTTGCACCAGCTGGTGGTGAGTACTGTGCCAGGAAGCCCCTCGGAATTTCAGTTCTTTCTCTTCTCACTACAGGGAACTTAGATCCTGCCCCTCCGGGCTCGGCTCTGATCAAGAGCAATTTGACTCTTTCCACTGAAGGCCATTCATAAATGCCAGGCCCAGTGCGATTTCTGTACTGCTGGGGGACTTGCTTATAAGTAAAAACTTGCAAACAAAAGGAAGCCACAGACGGGGTCTCTGCTTTGGGGCCTGAAGCTGTTTAGGCCCAGCTGGAGGCCTTGGCTGGGTGTTTGCAGACCACAGGGCAGGGTTGGGGAGGACAGTACCGGCCAAGGAGGCCCCAAGTCTGCGCCTCATCACAGGAGTAGCTTTGTTTCTGGGCCAGGCTGGCCCTGTCCCCGGAAGCAGTCCTGTCACCCACAAGCCACCTGTCTCTGTAAGGGAGGGGGTGGGAAGGGGAGTCCCAGACCATTTCCTGGGATGCAACACAGATGCGAATGGGGGCTGGGACCTGGGCCGCCCGCAGCCAGGTCGAGCTGGCCCGAGTCGGGGAGCCCCGTGGGCTGGCCTCCTACCTGGGCACTGGCCGTGATGTCCTCCCGCTCCTGGAGGGTCATGGACCCGAGGGCGTCCATCTGGTCTCTCTCGCAGGGATCCTGGAGCCCCGGCCCATCTTTGAGAGGGGAGGTGGGAGTGGCAGAGCAGGAGAGTGCACCCTTACGAAGGCGCCACTGCGGCTCTGCAGGGCTGAGGGGTCTGCACCTGGCAGCCTCGCGCCCACGGGCCACACCGGGCCTCTCCCCTGCCAGTCCTCCCTCCAGCCCCACAGGCGTTCAGCAGACCTCCTCACCGCCCGCGCGCGCGTGTGTGTGCACACGTGGGCGAGCATGTAGTTACAGAAAAGGCTCACACCACGGGCCAGTGTATCATCCTCTTCTTCCACTTAAAATGCTATCGTCCCATGTCACTGAAATGACTGGAAAACACCGTTTTGCATCTAACATGTCACATGAGCCGCATGCGTGCTCTCCCCCTTCTGCGACCGTGAAGGACATCGTGGTGAACATCTTTGTACACAGCCCATCGTGGAATTCCTGTTGTTTCCTTCGGAAATGTCCCCCGGGCTGTCCCTGGCTCCCCAGAGAGGGTGGGTGTGCCATCAGAGGAGCGTGAGAGAAGGCACGGACCCCTCCCCTCCAGCCTCCACCCCACCTCTCCTTCCGGCTGGTCTACACCTCCGCGCGGCTCCCTTGAGTGGTGACACGTGTGTGCATGTCTGTGTCCGCTGTCCTGCCGGTGCTGGACGTAGTTCTCGAGTGTTCCTAAGAGGCTCCTCTGCGCTACCCCGTCCCCCCACCCCCGTCATGGCCCTTGGTCTCTGCCACGTGCTCCAGGGTCTGGGCTCCCGGCCAACGGGGACTGACCTGTCAGGAGCGTCCCCGAGGCCACGCACTCCAGGACCCGTCTCACGGCGTTTCCGGGGCTCAGGGGCCCCTTCGTGCTGCTCAGAGCCTTCTCCACCAGCAGCTCCATGGCCTGGGCCGGGTGGGGACAGAGAAGGAGACCCGGGCCTTTGAGGACGGCGCGGCTGTGCGGCCTCGGCCAGGTCTCCAGGGGACTGGGGACGTGAGGCCCCCCTCCCAGCTCTTCCCCTCACACCCACCCACCCCTGAACTTCTACAAGGAGGGGGTCACCGGGGCCTTGCCACCCTGGTGTGGCCTTGGGCGGGTTTCTCTCAGTTCTCTAGGGAACTCTCTCACCTAGTTTTGACATCAGCAAAATCCCATAGATGGTAACATTGCAAACCAGTGTCATGAGGGTTAAAAGAAACTCATTCTCCATGACCCGAGGTTCAGACAGTGAGGGCCATGAGGGTCACAAGGACTTGGGGACTCGTGCAGGCTTGTCCCCACCTCCAAGGAGTCACCTGCCCGGGTCCCAGGGGGCCTTCGCATCCTCTCCCCCCAGAAGGGCTCAGGGCCTGCTGACCAGGGGTGTCAGGGCCGCAGGGGATCTCCCCTTCAGAGGAGGTGGGTCTGCACCAGGCTGCCTGCCCTCACGGGGGCCTCTGCACTGACACCTGCAGGTCTAGGCAAACACCCCACCTCTTGCTGGGGAGCCCTTGTATTTGCATGCTTCCTGATTCTGCCCACAAGGTTGTGGGTTCCAGATAATGCAGTCAAATGAGACTGTGTCTGTAGCAAGCCTCACCCTGGGGCCAAGGGACCCCGATATGCCCCACCGCGATCCACCTCTCCTGGCGCTCAGACGGACACCAGCCCTTTGTTGGAAAGCTGAGCGCTGAACCAGGAAATGAGGCTCGGCCTCCCAGGGCTGTGGCCTGTCAGGGGTTGGGGGCTTCCTAAAGAAGGGCCAGCCCCCTGGCACTGCCTTACCCAGTCCGGCAGGGCCCCCCAGGTGGGCACGCGCTGGCAGAGGTCCCGAAGGACCCTGATGACGATCACACAGGGCTGCAGGCCGCTGGCTCTCGCCTTCGGGGAAAGAAGCACATGGTTAGCTCCAGGGAGCTGTAAGCACGTGGCCAAGGGGGGGACGTGCACGGGGCCAAGGGAACAAGGGCTGATCCAGGGGCAGCGAGCCCAGCCGAGGGTCCTGTCCTGGCAGTGGAGGCAGTGAGGGACTCCGGGAGGCATGGGCCTGCCGGCCTCACAGCTGGCGACCGGAAGCAGGCTCCACTCCCAAACAGCCTACGGCTGAGCCCTAGTGCCAGCCGTTGTGCCCCCCACCCCCAGAGTGGTGGTCACTCCTTTCAAGTTCCCGACCCAATCAGCCAGGATGCAACCTCCATCAGGTTAGCGCTGGGCGTGGACACGTGGGTCGATCAGCCGGCCAAGGAACCGCCCCACTCACGTCTGTCCCTCATTTGTACTGGGAGCCCACTCTGGGCCTGACCCCTGACCTGGAACCACTTGGCGTGGCGGAGGGCAGCCAGCGACTGGAGGCACTTCTCTGAGCTCAGGACATCTCCTGGGTCAGGCGGAGGCACCGCTGTTCCTTCTAGAAGAGAAGGGCACATGGGCCAGGCGCCCCTCTCCCTGCTCCCGCTGCCCAGGCCACGTGGCCGGGCCCTCAGGTCCCTAGGCCTCTTTGCATTTATCCAGAAGACATATGGTTCTGCTCGCTGGCCCTTTCTCCGGGATGCTGCAAGGACCACGAACATCCTCTCCACGAAGATCCCATCTCCTCCGGGTTCTGTGCTCTCACAAGGAGAGAGCTCCACGCTTGTCACCCGGTACCATCAGCACTGACTCCCTTGGTTAGCAAATCACGGTTCAGATGGAAAACTATGTGTGAAGCTGGATTTCCAGAAACTTCCACACGCATAATTAAGAGGGAGACAGCGGGTCAGGTTTGAGCACACGCCATCACGGGTGACCAGGGCCCCGTGTCTGGGGGAGATTCCGGCCTGTTCTTGATTCCTTTTTCTTCTTGCTTCAGGAAAATTCTTCTCCCCTTATTCTGTGAGGTCCTGGTGCTTTAGGTCACAGGAAGGAGCAGAGGTTTCTCTTTCACCCATAAACCCTCCAACCCCCAGGCCTGGGTCTGCTCCTCTGGGGCTGAGAGCAAGCAACAGAGGAAGCTGAAAGCTCCCCTCCCAGCAGCAACCAGCAGGGCGGGGACATCGCGGCTCTTGGGGGCCCGGGGCTCCCTCAGAGGGGTTTCCAGTTCTCTAGCGCCCTCCAGTCCACCTCTATTCCGTGGCCTTGGACCTTGAACCCTTTCCGACATTCCCAATCCCCGCCTCGGAGCAAGCCCGAGCAGGGCCTCCACCTGGAACTGAAGGGCATCAATTTTTCTTCCCACTGTATTTATTTTCAGATGACACTCTCTTTATGACAACCAGTAATGGCTTTCCACTTATGGTTCAAAGGCTCTCCTCTTTAAAAATTTAAGAGTCAAAAAGGAATTGATTCAGAGGAAAGCATCAGTGGTTCATGACCCTCAGATCTGACAACAATCATGAAGGGGGTCCAAGAAAGACTGGAGTTTGGGAAAGTCTCCAGGGCTGTTCCAGGAGGTTCCACGGCTGGATGAGACTCAGGTGCATCCCCATCGGCTTGGCCTGCACCCTCCCTGTTGGCTGCCCTCTGGCCTCACCCCCCCACCCCCTCCCACTGGCTCAGGCAATGCGCATCTGTCTCAGGTCCCCTGGCCCCTGTCTTGCTGGGGGATGGGCCACAGCTGGTCTCCTCTGGGTGGGGAGCACAGGTCCCCGCACAGCCAGGAGGGATGGGAGGAAGTGCTCCCCGTGCACGTGCCCCACAGCTGAGTACTGAGCCACTTGACACTCTGCCCTAGCTCTCTACCTCCCTTCCTCTGCAGCCCCAAGGCCCAGCTCTTATCTCACCAAGGCATCCGGGCTGCCGGAAACTGGCTGTGGCAACCCCCCCACCTCCCACCCAGAGCAGAGGCGGGTGCTGCCCTAGGCCACCGGGTGTGTGGAGAGGAGGGCTGGACGGAAGGGCCCTGACGCACCTCGGTCTGCAGAGAGGTCTTCCCGCATTAGGGGCGAGGTGATGGACACAGTGACCTGTATCCTGGGCTCCTCGCAGGAGGAGATGATGATGTTGGCTTCAGGGTCAGAGGAGACCTCGTACTGGTCCTCTGTCACCATCTACGAGGTGCAAATACAACACAAGGCCTCATTACTCCAGCTGAGAGGCAGGATGCGGTTGGGTACCAGGCCCCATGCTGGGTGTTCTGGAACCTCCTAGGGACACAGACACAGCCCCAGCCTCCAGAAGTGCACACGTAAAAATGCATAGACAGCAGACCCAGCATCAAGGTGCCTTCATATGTAAAAACACCCAAAGCTCAATAACAACAAGATCAGCAACCCAACAGCAAAACCGGCAAGTGGGGACTTCCCTGGTGGTCCAGCGGTAAAGAATCTGCCTTCCCGTGCAGGGGACTCGGGTTCAATCTCTGGTTGGGGAGCTAAGATCTCACATGCCGTGTGCCACAACTACTGAGCTTGCGCCCCTCAACTGGAGAGCCCACGTGCCCTGGAGTCTGCCTGCCACAACTAGTGAAGAGAAAACCCACATGCCACAAAGATCCCGCATGCCTCAGTGAAGATCCCGTGTGCCGCAACTAAGACCCAACGCAGCCACAAAAAATAAATAATACAAATAAATAAATAAATAATAAATCTTAAAAAAAAAAACTGGCAAGTGATAGACAGTTTGCAGAAAGAGAAACCAAAGTGACCCTTTCTATATAATGACAAAAAAAGACTCCCATGGCAAGGGAGAATCACATTAAAACTAGAATGGGGTGCCATCGTCAGCTGTAGGAAGGACAAAACTCAGAGTCTGAGGAGGCGCTGGGCTGGCAAATCCACGCGTCTCTAAACTGCTGGTGGAGGCTGACCTGGCCACACTCAGCAGAAGCCTCCAGGCTCATGCCTCGGACCCCGTGACTCTGCCCCGGGACGGGCTCCCACGTGTGTGGAGCAGTGTGTGTACAAGGTTCTTCATCTGCTGCAGCCTCACTGGTAACACAGAACACTGGACACAACCTAAATGTCCAACTACATGGAAGGACCCAGCTAGTTATGGACAAGTGGCAACAGGGTACTCTTCGGCCACAAAAAGAGAATGAAGCTCCCTAAGTAAGAATACGGAATGTGACTCAAGAGATGCTATTCAGTGAAAAATGCAAAATCCTTCAGTTGGTCCAGCAGGCTACTGTTTGGGTAATGAGGGCAGAATGATGGTTTCTCAGGACACTGGACAGGGGCTGCCTCCAGACAAGATCTGAGGCCCCTCGGCTCCAGTACCCACCCCATGGCTGCCCAGGGTTCAGCCCTGCCCCAGCACACGCATCCTTAGGACCCAGCCTGCACCGGCTGCATCACTGGGGGATACCCTGAGGGTCAGAGCCTCCAGACAAGCCCCGCCCTCTTGGCGGATCTCTCTCCCCTCCGTTTACACCCTCTCCGGCTTGTCACTCTCAGGAGCTCAGGAAGAAGGGACCCCTTGCACACAGTCATCAGAACTCCGACTGCCATCCCCGATTACCAGCCTCCCGGGGAGACTGCACAACGAAGGTGGGTTTGGTGCAGTGACCCGGTGCCTGCATAGAAAAAGCTTTACTGTGTCCCTCATCTTGCTTTGGGGTCCCCCGAGACACTCAGCCAGGTAACGGCTAGAAGGGTCTTGTCTACACCGCTGGGAGTGGGGGGCACTGCCAGCTCTCCCGTGGCCTTTAGCCATCTTCCCCATGGCCTCATCCATCTTCATGGGGCTTAGGGCTTTGTCTTAGCCACTGGGCTGCAAGGTTCCGGAGGACAGGGCTTGCATCTGAGCCATCTTTGCAACCCCTACAGTATTGAGCAGAAAACTGTCATGTCATGGGTGTGCAGGAAATGACTGATTAAACTGGTGAAGTCGGAGCATGTCATTCCCCTGCTTAAAACCCTCCAGTCTCCCCATTTCCCTGAGGAGGCAATCTAACCTCCCCACATGGCCTTCAGGCGCACCTTGATCTAGGCCCTTGTCCATTCAGGCACGCGCCTCCCTGGGCCTCCTGCCTCTTGGCCTCTGCAGGTACAGGTCCTTCTATGTGGAATACTGCCCACCCTGCATCTTTCAAGGCCTCTCCTCATCTCTCAGCTCTCACCTCACCTGTTCCATCTTCTGTCAGGACACACACCTCCCACGGTCCTGTCTGAAGTGGCCCCCACTCTCCCCAGGTGCTCGCTATTTGACATCAGGTTTTAATTTCTCTACAGAAGATAAACTGGAACTTAGCTTGCTCTGTTTGTTGATTGTGTCTCCTGACCAGACTGGGAGCCCCAGAGGCGAGCCTGGGTCTGCCCGGCCTCCAGTGCTCACTACACGAGTCAGAGGAACGATGCTGAATTCTCTCGGGAAGGGCAGCAGACACATCAGGAAGAAGAAACCGCCCTGGGAACTGAGTATTTTAATGGAAGATGATCAAGTTAAATCATGACATGATTTCACTCTTCTCCCAGTTACCATCTCGCTTGAGAAAAGCTTTATGACAGGGACTTCCCTGGTGGCACAGTAGTTAAGAATCTGCCTGCCAGTGCAGGGGACACGGGTTCAAGCCCCAGTCCGGGAAGATCCCACATGCCACGGAGCAACTAAGCCCATATGCCACAACTACTGAGCCTGCGCTCTAGAGCCCGTGAGCCACAACTACTGAGCCCGCGAGCCACAACTACTGAAGCCCACACGCCTAGAGCCTGTGCTCCACAACAAGAGAAGCCACCGCAACGAGAAGCCCGCGCACCACACGAAGAGTAGCCCCTGCTCACCACAACTAGAGAAAGCCGCGCGCAGCAACGAAGACCCAACTCAGCCAAAAATAAATAAATAGATTAAAAAAAAAAAAAGGCTCTATGACAACAACAGGAACTGCTCTGGAGGAGAAAGTCCGGCCGACCCCCAGCCCTGTGCCTCTCTAGTCTCATGAGCCTGAGTGTTTGTCCTGTGGATTTCGTCCTGTTTGTGCTCCGTGCTGGCTGGCTGGGCTCTGCTGTGGATGTGACGGAAGTAACCGTCCTCAGTGACTGGACGTTTAGACTGTTTCCAAGCTCTACCCTCAACCCCCTCTGTAAAGGAACCCTCAAGTTCCACCACTCTCTCCTTGTGCCTGTTTCTAAAAACAAACCGGTTTGTGTCCAAGCCTCGTAGAAGCCACACGATGCGCGGCCGGGCGCCTCACCGGGAGCTGGAGGGGCAGCTGCTCCGTGACTCTGCGCAGCAGCGCACGGCTGGGCTTCTGGGAGCAGAGCAGGATCAGCTGCACGGCCCTGTCTCCCCGCAGGAGGAGGCCCTTCGCCAGCAGGCCGACCCGCATCACGCCTTTCAGGATCCGAGCAGAGGGGCCTGGGCGGCTGCCGAGACAAACCCGCAAACGCGTGGGCAGAGGGTGGGGAGAAAGGGTCCCTGCTCCTGCACGCGGGGCTACTTCCTCATCTGTAAAACGGGAGCACGGCCCTCCCCAGGGGCACCTGATCAAAGAGCCACGAAGAGACAGATCTGGGAGAAGCGCTTGGAACCGCTGCTAGGAAGTTGTGTTGCTCAGCAGGGCTGGCGGCCGTCACCGTTTCCTAATAAACTGCATTCTGGAAAAGGCCACCCGCAGCCACCCCCAGCGGCGCCCTGGTCCTCAGCCAGCAGCGCCCCCTCATGGGTCCTTTTGGCTTTGTGCTGCTGAGCCACCTACGCGGCCACTTCGCCCCCCAGCTGGACTCCCCTGAGGCCGCCGGCCAGACGCTCCCTGCCTCCCCCCAAGTCGTGTCCCCACCTGCACTGCACCGGCCTGGTCACTTTCTGCAGGTGACTGCCACCACCACGTCCACCTGGCAGCCACCCTCCCAGTGCTGCCCCTCTGCAGGCTGGGGACACCGAGCTTCCTCCTGGGGCCTGAGGCCTCTAGCCTGACCCCTGGGACGCCTCACCACCGCCCTCTCCTTCCACTCCCTCACCAGGAGGCTCATCCCACCTGGACCACTGCCTGGGGTGCCCTCACGTGGCGGCCCTCCCCATAGCTGTCACAACACAAATGTCCGCCCCTTGGCTCTCGAAGCTGCCACCTGATCCTGCCACTCCCTGATGCCCACTTTGCTGTTTTCTTTGTGACACTTCTCAGGATATGAGATAACCTAATTCTGTAATGCATTTGTGTATTTCTCTGTGGTCTGTCTCGGAACTGCAAGTGCTGGAGCCTGGGATGGTCTGAGGGGACCTGGCCACACCTGGGACATCTACGGGACCAGGACCAGATCCTTCAGGGGAAAACAAAGCAGAGAGGCAGGGAACCTGCAGATAAAGAGACTGACAGGTTGTCAATCAATTTGGACCCTGATTCAACACCAACTGCAAAACAAAAAAAAACCCTAAACAAAAAACTGGAAATTTCAGCACTGACTGGATATTTGATGGGGTTGAAGAATTATTGTTCATTTTTTTCAAGTATGATAATGGTATTCTGGTTTTGTTAAATGAAAAAGAGTCTTGTTTAGAGACACATACTCCACCCTCAGGCTAATGCCTGATATCGTGTCTGATAGTGTTTCCTTTAACAGCAGTGGTCTGTCGAGGAGGGGGGTGGGTAGAGAGCAAGTGAGTCATCCCTGGCTTAGGGATGGTCACTTGGGTCTCATCACCTTTTGTGTGTGTTAGAGAATTTCCATAATAAAATAGAAAAAAAAAAACAACCAAACACTAACACACTCTTTGCGATAGTTAAGTAAATAATAGAACATCCATGACTTCCCTGGCGGCCCAGTGGTTAAGACTTTGCGCTTCCACTGCAGGGGGCGCCTGTTCAATCTCTGGTCAGGAAACTAAGATCCCACATGCCACAGGGCTACGGAGCCCACGCACCATAACTAGAGAGTCCTCGCGCCGCAACTAATGAGCCTGCACACCACGACTACAGAGAAGCCCCACGCATGGCAACGAAGAGCCCACACGCCGCAACGAAAGATCCCGCATACTGCAACCAAGATCCCGCATGCCGCAACTAAGACCCAACGCAGCCATAATTAAATAAATAAATAAATAAAATATTTTCAAACAAACAAACAACAACAACAAAAAACCCAAAACACGAGTACAGGGAGAAAACGGGAGCAAAACTGCAAAGCACTAAGTGAGGGGCCTTTTCCTTCAGAATACATCGGGGTGGAGGTTAAGGGAGGGCCCCCCTTTCTGCCCAAGGGGCCGTGCCTGCTTCCCCTTCCAGGCCGTGAGGAAGGCCCACTGTCCCGGGGAGGCAGCTGTGTTCAGGCTGAGGGGCGAGTGCATTTCGTTATGACACCTGGTGACCCACGAGTGGGTCGCATGTTCTTGTCAGGGAGCAAACACTGTGGCAGGAACAAGCTACAGATTGGAATCAGCCAGACACAAAAGGACAGATGCTGCATGATTCCACTGGAGTGAAACGTCCAGAACAGGCCAAGCCGTGGAGACAGGGAGTGGAAAGGTGGGTACCAAGGACAGGGGCAGCGAGCGGCCTGGGGAATTTCACAGGACGGATTTCTGTTTTTGGATCATGAAAAAGTTCTGGAAATGGACAGCAGTGATGGTTGCAAAACCTTGTGAATGTACTTAGTGCTGCCATAGTGTACATGTAAAAATGGTCACGATGGCAAATTTTGTGTTGAGTATTTTACCACCAAAAAACCCCACAAAAAACCTTTAAAAAGTAAATGATGGCATTCCCTGGCGGTCCAGTGGTTAGGACTCCACGCCCTCATTGCTGAGGACCCGGGTTCAATCCCTGGTCGGGGAACTGAGATCCCACAAGCTGTGTGGTGCGGCCAGAAAAGTAAATGGCTACAAGGCATCGGGACTTTCCATCTTGCAACACTCCCGGCAGCTGGAAAGATGATTCATGCGGATGCTCGGCGGCACCTCCTGCTCCAGGAGAATCACTTATGTCCGCGTTATGGGTGAGGAAACAGAGGGGCTAATCCCCTGTGAACTACATTTCTACACACGTCTTCGACAGGAAAAGTAACTTCTGGTGTTGGAACAACGGCTCTCTCCAGTTGGGACTACAACTCCCTGTGAGCCTCGGGGCTCCGGCTCTGAGCCTCTCTTGGGGAGTTTTCTGGAAAGCCCTGGGCGTCCAAGGGCTCGAAGCCACCTGGCAGCGGAGCCACCTCTGTCACCCCGGGCCCCCCGAACAGGAGGGCGATGCCCATTACCTGCACCCCCCGCCCTCTGGCTCTGGGCGTGCGGAATCCTCCTCGGCCATTGTGTCGGACACCAGCTTGAGGGCGCGCTCTGAGTGGGAGACGGCCTTCTGGATGGCCAGGAGCTCCTCCTCTGTGGGGTAGATGGCGGCGTGCTTGCACATGACGTGCCGGTCGTCGCTGGATTCTGGCCGTCTCATGGGCTTCGGGGAAAGGCACACGTGTCACGTCACGGGCGGGTTGAGAGGCCCCGGTGGCCAGGGGGACGCAGGGGGACCCGGAGTCAGGCTGGCTTTGACAGGCAAGCAGTGGCCGGAGAGCCAGGCAGAGGAATGAGAGGGTCCACAGGGGAGGTGGACCAGGGAGGACCCCGGGGCCCCGATGGCTGTGGGGAACTTGGGCCGACTGGAGGGTCCAGTGGGCTCCCTGGGCAACGTTATCGAATTTCCGAGCCAGAGGCCCCGAGGAAGCTGGTGACCCCCTCCATCAGCAGGGTGCAATCCACAGTTCCCATCCGACCCGGCCCGCCCCCTCGGATGGACACCCAAAGGCTCCCGAGGGATGTGACCACTGGGGCCTCAGGAAGCTTTAAGGGATCGCTGTGGCTGGAGGTGAGGCCCTCAGCCCCCTCCAGTCCCCAGCCCCTGAGGCATTCGGACATCAAGATGAGACCACCACCCACCAGAGGCTTGGCTGTGGACAACCCCTGCCTGCTCCTGAGGGGATGTGCATGCTGGTCGGGCGGTGAGCGTCCCGAGCGCGCCTCCTGTGCCTGTGGTTCCTCTTCCAGCCACCTCTTGCACAAGCTGTAGCGCCTGCTGGGGTGGCAGGGACAAGGAGCCGTGAGCGGCGGCGGGACCCTGGGCCAGTCACACGGGAGAGCGTGGGGAGCCCCAGAAGCGGCTCCGCGTGCCGCCTGGTCCGGCCCAGGCTGAGCACGGCTCGCAGGGGAGGGCCCTGAGGCCCCGCACCTCATCTCGTCATGCTGGCGCCGCAGCTCCCCCAGACGCTGCTTGTTCAGCTGCCGCTGCTTCCTCAGCCTCTCCTCCAGCAACTTCCGAACTCTCATGCTGGGCTTGTCCGCAATCGGAAGTTCGGGGTTCACTTTTTTCTGGGAAGATGGGGGACCTTCGTTCAGATGAGAATGCAGGGAGTGCCACCCCCTGCCATGTTTATTTTTTTATTGTTTGCCCATGCCCCATGGCATGCGGGATCTTAGTTCCCCAACCAGGGATCGAACCCGCGCCCCCTGCAGTGGAAGCGCAGTCTTACCCGCTGGACCGCCAGGGAAGTCCCTCCTGCCAGGTTTAGACAACAGTGAGTTTCAATCCCCAAAGTGTCAACACTCCTCGTCCCCAAAGGCCATGGCAGGAAAGGGAACCACAGCGGGGAACAAAACTACGACCAACTTGCAGAGCGGCAGACGTGACGTCCACCACTGCGCAAGCCAACCGTCCACGCATCTGACAGAGGAGCCGAGGGAGAAGGCGCCGCAACACGGAGGAGCACCCACGGTCAGTGGTCACGCATGTTGACGGACGACTGAACGGAAATACTCGTACCGATCAGAGTAACCCAGGGAAACTCTGTTTGTGTGGGATCCAGCTCTATATATTCTAAATAGCATTGCCAATTCGCTCACTGGGCTTTGTCCTTAGTACTTAATTTCATCACTCAAAGTGTGTAGTGTTGTCTAAGGATTGGTCACTGGTGGAAACAACACAAGTGTGCTTCAGCGGGTGAAATACACACAACGTGCCCCTCCACACACAGGAGCATCTCTCAGCCAGGAAAAGGGGTGAAGCACTGACACTCGCTACACCATGGGCGGACCCTGAGAACACGATGCTCAGTGAGAGAAGCCAGGCACAGAAGCACACCCAGTGTGTGATTCCATTGATGGGAAACGTCCAGAACAGGCAGATCCATAGACACAGAGAGTGGGTTCCTGGTTGTCAGGGCCTGGGGTAAGGGTAGGGGGTGGCTGCCAATGGGAACGGGGCTCCTGACGGACTGTTCTGGAACTAGATGGAGCTGCTGGTTGCACACTCTATGAATGTAGTAAAAGCCACTTTACATGGGCAAGCTGTGTGGTGTGTGAATGATATCTCAACAAGGCTGCTGAAAAGAGAGGAGATATCCAGAAGCCACTGTTTGTCACGAGGAGAGTCAGTGTGTGCTGTGCACAAGTGTACACGGGGCCCGATAGTCAAGTGTGTCTAAACACACGTGTGCATGCGTGCCCTGGCAAACCTGTGACAAGGAGGCATCGTGAAAGCAGCCAAGGGTCCCTCTGGCTGAGCCCAGGGTGCTGAAGGGCCCAGGGGCTCCGACTCATGGGGGCAAAAGGTGTGTTTTGAGACGTGAGCCAAGATGTCAAGAGCACAGACGCTCACCCCCAGCCAGGCCCACCAGACGCCCCCTGCTGGCACACCTTATACTGCAGCCGGTGCCGCCGCCCCCTCACGTGCATGTCCCGGGCATTGGGGTCATTGAAGCTGCACTCGCACAGCTTGCAGTGGAACCGGATTACTCTGCCCTCCTCGTTGCACACCTGAGACACAAGGCACGGCTGAGCGCCGCCCACGGCCCCCACGCGCCGGGTCTGGGCTCCAGCAGGGCACCTCCTTCCCCCAGGGCCGTCCAGGCCGGGTGCTGGTTTCCTGTCTGCCCAGCAGTTTACGCTTTCAGAGGAATGGGTCTTCACCAGCGCGCCCTCCCAGGCCCGGCTCCCCTCTGCCACCACCTTCCTGTCCTCCCTTCCCCTGTCCCCCCACCCCGGGGCTGCCACCAGACTGGCAGGAAGCCTGCCTGCTGTGGCTATTTTGCAGGGGACAAAACAGAAGGTGCTGAGTTGGGTGAACAAAAGCACGAACACGAGCACAGAAGAAATGCCCACACGCACGGCCCAGGAGGCACCCAGGAGGCTGGGACTGTGGGGTCGTAAGGAGGGGCTCAGAACCTGAGCCCCACAAAGCCCCGGGCATGCAGGTGGTGCTGTGTGGGGCGCACACTGGCTCCTGTGCCCGAGGATCACGTGCCCGTGGGTTTCCAGGACACAGATCCCTCCTGCCACCTTCCTTGCCGCAGGAAGAGGGGCTGCCTGGCGGCAGGAAACACCTCTGCCTGTCTCGGGCCTTCCTTCTAAGATCGGAAGCCCAGCACCCGGGCCTTCCAGTGAGATCCAAGGGATGCTGGCTCACTGAGGTCTTCCCCGGGCGGCTGTGCAAGTCTCAGGGGGAGAACTGGGACGAGGCCTCGAGGCCTGGCCCCGCAAGGTCCTTCTCCACAGGAGCCCAGGGTGGAGCAGGGTGAGCCAATGGCCGGATGCCCAGCACTTACCTCCTCCACGTAGCCTGGGCCCACCGGCTGTGCGTCACAGCATGTTCCAGAAGCTTCCGCAGAGCCTCCTTGGGCGGGCAGTTCTCCGGGCCACTCTGATCTGGGGTGTGCCGGTTTCCCCTGGGGGGGTCTGCTGTCTGCCGCCGGCAGCGCAGGAGGCCCTGGAAGGAAGAACCGCGTGACTTATAATCTGCTCCAGCCAGCAACCAGGGTCGGTTTCTGGTCCGCCAGCATGAAGGGTACAACTCGATGCCACCGGGTCTCCCGCTGCCCCCCTCCCCCTTCCGTGACGTCAGCCAGTGGGATCCACAGTCCCACGAGACCCCTTCCCACCAGCCTGGGTCACGACTGGGCGAGCGAGGCCCTCACGGCGTTTGGTGCCAAGGTGGACGGGTCCACAGGGAGGCACAGGTCGTAGGCCCCTCTCTGAGGACAACCGCCACTGCTGCACAAAGTCTGCAGCCCTCAGTTAACCAACAGTGGAACATCAAGCAGACGAGGGTTTACTGAGCCTCAGAAGGGAGACATTTCTTTGTCACCAAAACCGCTTTATATTTTGATCTTCAACATCACGTGACTGTTCAAATCTCAGGCCTGCTGAGGCTCAAAATAAAATAGGCCCCGCCTCCCACACAAAGCGTGGTGGTGGTGAGCAGAGACTGGGTTGGAATCCCACCTCCACCGCTCACCAGGTGGTCCAGAGCCAAGTGCTTTTCCCCACCTCCCCTCGGTTCTTCCATCTGTAAAGTGGGACTAATGACAAACCTAGAGCTGTGGAGGGTGAATCAGGCACGTGGAGTGAGTGCCTGACATGTAAGCCTATTTACCCTTGAAATGCATGTCCCTCGGCAGCCGTGACTGCCCAGGGGTCATAGCAGGTGCGGGTGACACACGCTCGAGGGAAGGCAGGGTTGGAGGTGGGGCTGCGAGGAACCTGCCTGGATTTCCCGGGGCCCCCCTCACTTATCAGAGTGCCCGGTGTGAAGGGGGATGCTTCCAGCACGTGGAAGGCGGCAGCCCAGGGGATTCTCCAGGCCTAGGGCTGGCTTCCCGAGTGTGGCCAGCACGCGGCTCAGTCCCAAGCTCCACGGGAAGAAATGGAAGCTGCACTGGTTCTGCCCACGCTTCCCCAGGGTGGGCCAGAGGCGGCAGAAGGCACCCCGCCGGCGCGGATCTCGGAGAGAACTACCCCCTTCATAGGTCCTGCCTCCCCAGAAGTGATGGCCGCACGCACACCGTTGACCGGACCATCCCGTCTCTGAGGCTCGAGCTTGTTGAGGCAGGGCAGGGGCTGTGAAGCGCAGAGACACGTACCCACGTGCGAGGCCTTCGAGGCGGCTGGTCTGCTGGCTGGCGCTGGCCTGCTTGGGGCACACATGCTGGGGCTGTCAGGGGCCGCAGGGGGGCTCTCTGCGGTGAGCGGGGTGGAGGCCGGCTGGCTGGTGCTGGTGGCCTGGGCCGAATTCACTGGCGCCGGGTCCATGCTGGGAATGGGCTTCCCCAATTTGGTATGCAGCTTTAAGACCTGGAACAGACCCAGCCCCCTGTAAGGGCTGCTCAGGCCTGGCCAACCTTCCTCAGGGGTAGGCAGAGCACCTCACCGGGCATGGGGAAGCTGGCAGACTGTGGAAGTGAGGGCGGTGGTCTATCCCGTCCCTGGGGACCCTGCCCCTTTCCCCTGCTCCCACTTAAATGCCTTGGGAAGGGCCTTCCTGAGCTGTCTCCTGCTTCTAGGCCCCCACTACTCCTGCATATGGGGGACCTATAACTTTGACAGCCCTGCTGGCTTACACAGACCCCCTTCCTCCAAACTCCACCGCCTGCGCTGAGAAGCACGGCTGTTTTCTGCATGCCAAGCACCAGCCCAGTGCCAGCCCCAGGTAGAGACACAGTGTGTGCAGACCGCCTGCTAAGATGTACACATGTACATGTCCACGACACAGATCCATGTCCTGTATACGTGGGTGTACACGTCCATAGACACACCTCCACATTCTGCAGGAACTCACATACACGTCCAGGGACACAGATCCACCTAGGATACAGTCACCCGCCCTGTCCTCGGCATGCCACCACCGCCAACAAAGGCACTTAATTGCAAAAGTTCCCGTTGGAAAGGACTGTTCCACCACACCCAGAGTCTGCACTGACGACCGTCTCAGACACCTTCTCTGGCTCTAAGTCTCTGACACTCACGGCTCAAACGTGCCCCCAACCCCGGGGCTGGCTGCAGGGCCTCCTGACCCCAGAACGAGTCCCAGCCTGCGAGCTGTGACACCCGCAGCGCCCCCCGCCTGGGCCCAGCTCTCCCGCCTGCACCCCTGCTACCACCAGGCTGGCGTGTCCCCTTTTCCACGCCTCACTGCTCCTTCCTTGGTGGGTTTTGTGGGTTCACGCAGGCATTCGAGAGCCTGTCCCAGCTGGGCTGGGGAACGAGGCCCTTGATGAGCAGGGGGAGAAGACAGATCCTCAGGCAGGCGCTCGGGGAGGCCCGGCCTGAAGCAGGGGCTGGAAGGGGGCTGCCAAGGGCAGGGTGTGAGCAAAGGCCCGGGGGCAAGAGGGAGCATGGACGGTGAGCTGGGGCAGCTGGAGGGGGTTCTGCGGACGAGGCAGAGAGAGGCAGCCACGGGACAGGGGCCTTCCTAACCCTCTCACTCTGAACCTCATGGTGCAGCTCAAAGCAGGCGCCTAGCCAGGAATTCCCTCTCCTCTTGTCCTCAGCGCACACCCAAAAGGTGAGCATCACCTTGCAGGTTCATGATGCCATTTGGGGAAGGTTTGCTGATTTCCAAAAAGCACCTCTGGACTATAGCAAGAGGGCATAGGGAGAGGGGCTCTACCTTCTCTCGGGTGGAGGAGCCCATTCATTTCCTCAAAATGTGACATACTACAGGCATTTTTAAGCCCACAGGAAAACGTTGATATTAAAATAGTAATAAATATGACAAATGCTGATATTAAATAATTTAGTATCAATGAAAACTTTGATATTAAAATATTAAACCTTATACTTTGATTTGATTTTTAATAAATAAGGACCCCGAATGAAATATACCATTTGATCTCATCAACATATAAACTCTGGTTCATATATACATGCAGACACACCCAAGGCCAAGAACAGTTTCCTCTGGGGTCTGGGTATGAGCTGCCCTGCTCCATGCTTCTGTCCAGGGGCAGGTGTGACTTTTATAACTGGCAGAAGGGGTTTGGCTTTGGAGGAAGGAGGACGCGTGGGCCTGCAGGGAAAGCTACTTCTCGTGGGTGGCTGCCCACCCGCCGTGTCATGGGAGGCCCCTCTGGGTCCCGAGTGGGCCGGGGCCTGTGAGGGGCTCCTACCTTCTGGTGCTTGGACCCCCGGATGTGGGCGGCATAGGCCTCCGCCCCCGTGCAGGACACGGCACACAGGTCGCAGTGCAGCTGCGCCTGCACCCCTCGTGGGCTGCTGTTGGGCTGGATGCCCATATTCTGAGCCGCCTCTTTCTTTTTGTGCTTCTGCCCTTCCAGGTGCTCGCGGTAGGTCTGCCGGCAGAGAGCGAGGGCGGCCTGAGGGGGGTGTGTGCCCACCTTGCACCGCGCCTTCCCTGTCGCCGCAGTTCACGGGAGGCCTGATGTCCCCACCCCTCTGTTCACGGCCTCCTTTTAAAGCCCAGTCAACAGAGAGAAGACTCAGAAGCTCGGACTGAAAGACATAAGGTTGCTTTCTCTTTTGTTTTTTCTAAAAATCAGTGAGTTTCTTAAGCAAGCATCCTCAAAGGAGCACACACTTAGTTTCAGGGGCTGCTTGAAAGAACATTCCGGCTTTTCAGAATCTGACCTCAGAAGCCAAGCAAGGATGCGTGCTACCGGAACGATGCGGGACATACTTCACCGTTAGAACACTGCTCCCAAACCGCGGGGTCCACCTGGGGGAGGTGGCCGCGAGGCACAGACCCACGCTTCCCGCGCCGCGTGCCCGAGATGTCTGACAGCGTCTGGCACACGACTGAGCTCTCACAGGGCAGCCCTGACTTGTCTCTGGGAAGGCTTAAGATGAGGCAAAGTGGGGCTGCTAACCCAATGCCCTCTAACCATGCCAAGAGTCAATAGAATAGAAATGCCTCTGGAAAATACCAAAGGCACTGGTGACGCTGGCTGGCTCTGGGGGCAGGGACAGGAGTGGGAAGGGTGCTCTCGGAATGTAGAAATCTGTGGGGTTTTTTTTTTTGGCTGTGCCTCGTGGCATGTGGGATCTTAGTTCCCTGACCAGGGATTGAACCCATGCCCCCTGCAGTGGAAGCGCAGAGTCTTAACCACTGGACCGCCAGGGAAGTCCCAGGAATCTGTGTTTTTACCTAAGCCACAGAACACACGCACACGCACACGCACGCGCACACGGACGTGACGTCAAAGCCTGTGGGACGGAGACAAGACTGGAAGGATATACACCAAGGCGCCAATAGTAAACTACGTCAGAACACTTTGGCTGTGGTGGCATGTGGGATCTTAGTTCCCTGACCAGGGATTGAACCCATGCCCCCTGCAGTGGAAGCGGCGAGTCTTAACCACTGGACCGCCAGGGAAGTCCCAGGAATCTGTGTTTTTACCTAAGCCACAGAACACACGCACACGCACACGCACGCGCACACGGACGTGACGTCAAAGCCTGTGGGACGGAGACAAGACTGGAAGGATATACACCAAGGCGCCAATAGTAAACTACGTCAGAACACACTTCGCAGAGCGTGAGCCCGTAGAAAGAACACACGTTCACAGTTTATGCCATCCCGATGCCTGACTCTCCATCAGACACGGACCACATGTGCAATGAGAAAAAGCCCAGAGGAGCATTAGAAGGAGGCCTGCCTGGTGCCCCGCGGCTCCTGAAGCCCACAGCCGCCCTGGCGGCCCCTCGCTCGGCCAGGACGGAGACCGCACCGCCAACTGTGCCGTCCTGGACTCGAAGACAGGTGCCCGGAAAAGAGGCAGAAGTGCTGCCCCCGCTGCGGGGAGGCCACGCCCACCAAGTCCTTCCGATGCACATGGAGGCCGTGCGTGGCTGCTTCCACGTTAACCGTGTCTCAAGTGGCGGTGGGTGGGCGCGGGAGGGGTGAGCAGGAAACGGCAGCATGGGGGCTCTGCAGAAGCACCCGGCATCTCGGTGGTGGAGGCGGATGTGCGAGCCTGGGCAGGCGATGAGCTCGCACGGAGCAGACCACACGCACGCACACGCACGTGCACACAGGCATACACAGGTGCAAGTGAGACCGGTAAAACCTGGGACCTCTGACTCAGTGGACGGGTTCAAGGCCAACATGCCAGCTGTGATAGTGACTGTAGTTTGGCCAAACGTCAGCACTCGGGGCGCTGGGTGAGGGCACGTGGGCCTCTCCGCGGTGTTTCTTACAACCACCTGTGAAACCACCACTACCTCAATGAAGAGTCCAACGAACAAGCGCTGTTAACATTACCAAAAAGCTGGGAACAACTGGAGCTGACATGTCTGCGTGCCAGATGCTATGCCGAGCGGTGACACGCTTGGGGAAACCCGGTCCCACGGGGAGACGAGGCTCAGAGAGGCCTCGACACCCACTCGGGTGATGCTCACGTGCCCACGCTCCGTCACACCCCATGGCCATGGGAAGCGTCACACCCTTGCTCAATGTGATGCCGCGAAGAGTCTAGAATCACAGGAGCAGACCTTGTACTGGACTGGTGAGAGGAACCAAGAATCCTCACGATGCAGCCCTGAGTGCGGGCCACCCGGCCCTCGTCCCTCTGCTAGGGAAGTCTGGGCTGAATGAGGGGTTCTGGGCTCCTCCCACACCTCTATAGCCTGCGATTTGGAGTCTCTGCATGCCTCCATGGTGCCAGCTTTCTCTCAGAGTACTAAGAACAAGACAAAATCCACACGGGGTGTTTTGTGAGGACCAGCCCTAGCGTCTGATGATCTTTGCAGGGAGCGAGGTGGGTCACTTGTGAGCGTGGTTGGGGAGGTCCTTTGCTTAGACAGCGGTGCACTCGCCTGCACACGTGCACGAACATGCTACTTTTACCCACCTGCGGCCCTGCCTACACGGTCCTGTCTGCACGGCTCTGCCTACATGGCCCTGCAGCAAAGGTGCACTGTGACCAGCCGTGCCTACTGGCCCTCGTGTCCAGGAGGGTGCTCTGAGGGCCTCCCTGCTGCAGATGGCCTCAGGGTGCAAGACCACGCTTCTGCGGCCAACAACCAGCGCTGGGCCCGCTCTCGTGTCTTTCACAAGAACACCAGGCAGTTTTAAGGTTATGCTGATGCGCACTTGGCGTTGCAAATTAATAACAGATCTCTTTTGAGCAGGCAACGACCCTGACCTCTGGCCGGTCATAGGGGGCAAGGGAGGGCTCTCCCACCCGTGGGGGCAGGAAGGTCTGGGGCCTGCCCAGCGTGGGGCGGGGTTGGCTGACCTGGGGACCAGCACAGCTGATCTTGCAGATGTCACAATAGTGAAGCGGGAGCTGCTTGGGGCCACCCCTGGGTTTCGGCAGCTTGGTGGCAACTGGTAGCTTCTTGGCGAAGCTGTCGGTGCAATGGGCACTGGGACTGCTTCCCGAGCCGCCCCACAGGGACGAGTCCACAGGCTTTGGGAGCGGGAGTGGCCGCATCTGTGGGAGGAGCAGCGGGGGATAGTAAGGACTGACCGCTGAGTACAGGGATGCGTCATAGCCCGGGCAGCTTGGTCCTAAGAAGCGGAGAGAAAAATGAGAGAGGGAGATGGGTTGGTTTTGAGGAAATGACCACATTTATTTCGGCAGCAAATAAAAGGAACAGCCTACACTTGCATGCCTGCGGGGGAAACCACCATCTTACCAGTGTACAGGGCGGAGGCCGGGCCAAAAGAGGATGAGGAAGGCAGCGTGGAGAGGGAGGAGGCCACGGGCTGAGCGCTGCTCGCCAGAGGGTAGGTGGAGGTGGAGGGCGAAGTGCTGGCCAGCTGCCCCGCCTCGGCGGTGGGCACCTGCGGCAGGGGCTGAGCTTGGTTGTACCCAATGCCACCGTAGGCTCCTTGGGGCCCTGGAGAGCAAGCACAGCCTCTGCAGAGCCACTCCTGTGACACCGGGCCCAGGGAGCAGAGAAAGTGTGACCAACACGACAGCCCGGCTGCCAGGAGCTGGCACGGCCTGGGCGCAACTGGCTGTGAAGCCCAGGTGTCTGAGCTGCGCTGGAGGCCGGAGCCCCGGGCTCTCCCAATCTCTAAACTCCAAGTCCTCAGCAGAACCCACCTCCTTGGAAAACACTTCCAGCCCCACCTTCGTCTCTCCCCCATCTCTCTGTCTGGGTCTCTCCGCCCCTCTCTCTCGCACACACAAGCCCATTGACTAGTGGAGACTTCAGGGCGTACCTTCTGCTGCACCTTCTGTGAACCTGAAGTGCTTGAAACCTGACTTTCCTGGGGTCCCTCCTGTGTAAGCGAGGCCCCCTTGCCCCTGCCCTGACCCTGCAGAGACCCACCCACCTGGTGGGCAGAGCGTGGCCGTGGCCATGGCTGGGAGCTGAGGCTGGCCAGCAGCAGGTGGCAGGTCCTGTTTGTTCTCGTAGCCACCAGCGGCTGTCGATGGTCCATAGCTGTAACTGTCCTGCAAGAGGGTTTCCATGGGGAACACAGAGCAGGAGAAAGGTGCTCAGGGTGGGGCAAGGCCCCCTCCTCGCCCCCTGAAAGGCCTGCATCCATGTGGTTCCCGAGCTCCTGCTCTGTTTTGGGACCTGGGGAAGCAACGACCAGGGAGAGGGATGTGGCCTGCTCCCTCAAAACTGATGCTAATGTCTGATAGCAAAAGTGCTCTGAGGAACATGCAACGGGACAAGGGCTGCCGGGGACGGCTCGGAGGAGGAGGCAAGCGTGCGGAGACCGGGGACAGGGCTCCTGGCTGGGTTGGCAGGGAGCAGAGGCCCTGGTGGGGGTCAGCGGGTGGGCTGGCAGGAGACCCGGAAGCTGTTCAGAGCACCAGGGGAGGGGCTGGGGGGCAGGTGGGGCCGGGGGCACCGGGAGGGGCTGGGGCAGCAGGGAGCACGGCTGGATTCTGGTTCACAGGGAGATATGAGCTGTTGGGTGGACCAGGGACTAACTGCATGGAGGTGAGGATGGAACCAAGAGGCCAGGAAGAGGCCCTGGGAGCAGGGCAGGAACTCAGGATGGGAGGTTGGGAGAAGTCCCAGAGGTCCTGGGGAAGCAAAGGGGAGTAAAGGAGGGAGGGGACGGAGCCAAGTGGGTACGAGCTTGGCCGAGCAAATCAGGAACAAGCTGTGGGTGACAGAGGCTCAGGCGGTTGGGCCACATGGAGCGCGGGACGCCTTGGCGATTCCATGTGGAAACACAGCTACCAGATCTGCGGTCCCAGAGCTCGGGGTCAGGAAGGGGGCATCGTCAGCACCGGAAAGGCCCGGGAAAGAGGGGAAAGTTCCATCCCCTCTAAGGGCAGGGATGGGAGCATCAGGAGCGTGATGGCCTGTCTGGATTGCGTTTTCAAGGAAGGTCTGGTGCTGGGCAGAGAAAAGTCGGGCTGATACCTGGTAGGAGGGAGCCGTGGTGGCCGCCAGCACAGGCTCCTGGGGCTGGCCGCCGTAACCGAGGTCCTGGCCGGGCTGGGGCTGGTACCTGCTGTACCCCGCTGGAGTGATGGGCCTGGGTGGCTGGGCGGCCTCGGGAAACGGGATCAAGGCAGGGCCCAGTCCAGAAGCAGGCTGCACGGCTAAGCTGGTTCCAGCAGCTGGGAGGGGAAAAGCCATCGGAGGCTGGGCGCTAGAACCACAGATAAACAGACCACCCAGCAGCGTTAGACCCTGGCATTCGAGAACCTGCATTGAGCACAAAAATGCCACCTGACACTAGACATCAGCCACTTGGATGCCTCCAGTCCAAGAACTTTCTTCTGTGAGCACAGGCGCCATTGGAAGCGCTTTTCATGAATTGAATTAACACAATCTCACAGCAACCCTGAGTGCTCGGAGCCAGCCTGGTCCCCATTTTCACAGTTTAGAAAAATCATGGAAGGTCGATTAACGCTAAACTAAGAACTCTTTACCTATAAGAACAAGCTCTTGCTGTGGTTCGTTCTGCAGGAAGCCCAGAGCTGAGGCCTTTTGTCTGCCTCACGTCATCCCTACCTTCCTGCCCTTAGAGAAGGCACTGCCAGCTGTCTGTATGTCCATCTGTTGGTCTGTCCCCACTGTCTAGAAGATGAAACTCTGAGGACAGGTGACAAGTGCCGGATTCAGACCCAGATCTTTCTGATCCCCGCGCTCCTTACTCTGCTAAATATCAGTCACCCAGTACACAGTCCTCAAATGCAAAAGCCCGTTTGTCGGGGAAGGGTATTGGCAAAGAGTTTAGCCCAATACCAATAAGAATCATATAAGAAAGTTCCTACAGCCCTCCTACACTGTTGTTGGGAATGTACATTGCTGTAGCCAGTATGGAAAACAATATGGAAGTTCCTTAAAAAATAAAAATAGATGGGAATTCCCTGGTGGTCAAGTGGTTAGGACTCGGCGCTTTCACTGCTGAGGGCCAGGGTTCAATCCTTGGTCGGGGAACTAAGATCCCACAAGCCGTGTGGAACGGCCAAAAACTTTAAAAATTAAAATAAATTAATAAATAAAAATAGAGCAACCGTATGATCCAGCAATCCCAATCCTGGATACATATCCAGAAAAGATGAAAACTCTAATTCAGAAAGATGTATGCACCCCAATGTTCACTGCAGCACTATTTACAATAGCCAAGACATGGAAGCAACCTAAGCATCCATCGACAGAGGAATGGATAAAGAAGATGTTGTACATATATACAATGGAATATTACTCAGCCATAAAAAAGAAGAAAATAATGCCACTTGTAGCAACATGGATGGACCTAGTGATTATCATACTAAGTGAAGTAAATCAGAGAAAGACAAGTATCACATAATATCACTTATATGTGGAATATATTGCCACTTGCAGCAACATGGATGGACCTAGAGATTCTCATACTAAGTAAGTTAAAGACAAATATTATATGATATCACTTGTATGTCAAATCTGAAAATAATACAAATGAACTTATTTACAAAACATAAACAGACACACAGACATAGAAAACAATCTTATGTTTACCAAAGGGGAGGGGAGGGAGGAATAAATTAGGAATATGGGATTAACAGATACACACTACTATATGGAAAATAGATAAACAACAAGGGCCTACTGTAGAGCACTATATTTAGAACTATATTTAGTATCTTATAATAACCTATAACGGAAAAGATCTTTAAAGAAAATACTGAATCACCTTGCTGTACACCTGAAACTAATACAATATTGTATATCAACTCTACTATTTTTAAAAGAAGGAAGTTCCCACAAACCCTGTAGGGCAGGGGTCCCCAACCCCCGGGCCACAGCCCGGTACTGGTCTGCGGGCTGTTAGGAACTGGGCCGCACAGCAGGGGGTGCACAGCGGGCAGGAGAGCGAGTGAAGCTTCATCTGCTACTCCCCGTCGCTTGCATTATTTCCTGAACCATCCCCTCCACCCTGGCCGTGGGAAATCTGTCTTCCACGAAACTGATCCCTGGTGCCAAAAAGGTTGGGGACCGCTGCCGCAGGGGATGAGGCAAGGCGTGTGCGCAGCTCAGAGGCAGGCAGACCTGAGTATAGAGGGACGACGGCTGGCAGCATTTGTCCACTGGCACCTTCGCACACATTCTGGGCCAATGCTAGACTCACATGTGATGCCTGCAGTGTCATTCCTGCCCCCCAAAGTGGCTCACTGCCCAGTGGGGAGGGCCATGGAGAAATGGGAACAACTTGGAGGGAGTGTTATCCAGGCCATCCTGGGGGCTGAGGGACTCGCCAGGGAGAGGGAAGCGCGCTGCTGAGGGTCAAGCAGACCCGTTGCATCGCCCCTGCCCACCTCTTAGCCAGCATCTCTTCGTCCTCCCGGCAGCCAGAGGGGTCCGCTCAAAGTACAGACCTGACCAGGTCAGCCTCCTGCTCAGAACCCTCCCAAGGCCCTCTGCCCCCATCCCCTCCCACACCTGCTCGCTCCCTTCCTCACCTCCTTCTGCAGCCCTTCCTGAGCCCGTTGGAGAGCATCAGGGCCCTGTAACCCGTTATTCTGCCCCCTCACCCTGCTTGATTTTCCCTCCCAGCACCACCTGATGCAATCCTTCAACCAACAAGAAGCCACAGGAACTGAGGTGGGTCCCAAGCTATTTGCCGGCACGACAGTGGCGCCTGGCACATAGTAGGTAGCTCAGGAAATATTAGTATGGCCTACAGTCAGGTGTTTGGGAAATGGTGGGTGGGAGCAGCCCAATCGCAGGTGGGGTCCTGGCCCGCCGGGGTCCCAGGGATCTTCCCCTCGCATCTTCACATGGTCTCCCTCTATGTGTGTCTATGTCCTAATCTCTTCTTATAAGGACACCAGTCATATTGAATCAGGGCCACCCTAATACCTCATTTTCCCTTAATTATCTCTTTAAAGACCCCATCTCATACAGTCACATTCTTTAGTTAGCAATGAAGTCCTAACCCCCAATACCTAACACCCAAATATGAATTTTAGGAGAACACAAGTCAGCCCATGACAGGGTCATTATTGTAACAAAACTCAAATGACATGAAAATCTTGATTACACAAACATCATTCATGCTGAACTGAAAGCACCTAAAATACATTTTACAGAATATATAATCATTTATGAATTAGTATGTTTTTATTTTATTTAAGACACTCAAACATCATCAGCCCATCACCAGAATGCCCAGACACGCACAGTAATGATAACCTTTGATGTTCTGACAACTGTAAACCTAGCATCACTCTTTTTCTTCTTCTTGGTCATTAGAAAGGTATATTTGTTAAGGTAGGTGGGACAGAACATACTGTATTTAACTTTTGCCAGCTTGGTCTATAATGTTGAAATATTTAGACATGGCATGCTGGCTTCCACTTGTACTTTTGCCCTGGGCCTCTCAAACTGTGAAGGCTATTCATTTGTTTGACTATGCTTCATTTGCCCATTTTACTATTGGTAAGTATTTATATTATATATCAGTTTCTATTGCAGAGTTAAAAATTACCCCCAATAAATGTCAATTGGTACAGCCACTATGGAAAACAGTATGAAGCTTCCTCAAAAAATTAAAAATAGAACTAGCATATGATCCAGCAATCCACTTCTGGGGATTTTTCTGAAGAAAACAAAAACACCAATTCAAAAAATTATGCACCCCTATGTTCACTGCAGCATTATTTACAAGAGCCAAGATATGGAATCAACCTAAGTGTCCACTGATAGATGAATGGATAAAGAAGATGGGTAAAGGAGATATATATCTTTATCCATTCGTCTAATGACGGATACTTAGGTACACACACACACACACATATGTGTGCATGCACGTGTACTCGTGCACAATAGAATATTACTCAGCCATCAAAAAAGAATGATATCTTGCCATTTGTGACATGGATAGACCTACAGGGTATTATGCCGAGTGAAATAGGTCAGACAGAGAAAGACAAATACCACATGATCCCACTTATGTGAAGAATCTAAAAAATAAAACAAATGAATAAACATAACAAAACAGAAACAGACTCATAGATACAGAGAATAAACTGGTGGTAGCCAGAAGGGAGGGGGTTGGGAGGATGAGTTAAATAGGTGAGGGAGATTAAGAGGTACAAACTTCCAGTCCTTAAATAAGTAAGTCTGAGGAATGTAATATACAGCATGGGGAATATAGTCAATAATATTGCAATAAATTTGCATGGTAGCAGATGATAACTGGACTTATTGTGGTGATCATTTTGTAATGTATAAAAATATCAAATCACTATGTTACATACCTGAAACTAATAGAATGTTGTAAGTGATTATACTTCAATTTAAAAAATTACCCCCAATGATGTGGCTGCAAACAATAATAAATATTTACCATCTTCACAGATTCTGTCGGTCAGAATTTAAGAGTGGCGTGGATGGGCTCTGACTCAGAGTCTTTAAGACGTTGCCAATAAGAAGTCGACTGGGGGAATTCCCTGGCGGTCCAGTGGATAAGACTCCACGCCCCCAATGCAGGGGCACGAATTCAGTCCCTGCTCGGGGAACTAAGATTCCCCATGCTGCACAGCACGGCCAAAAAAACCCAAACAAACAAAAACAAAAAAACGGAAGTTGGATAGGACAGCATCATCTGAAGGCTTGACTGGGGTAGTGAGATCTGCTTCCAGGATGGCTCCTTAACATGGTTGGTGCTTTCCCAATGCTGCTTGAGTGTTCTTACAACATGGCGACCAGCTTCCCCCAGAATGAGAGATGCCAGAGAGAGAGAGAGGAAGGACCAGTGGAAGCTATCCTTGTTATGAGCCTCAGACATCACATGGCATAACTTCTGCCACATTCTACGTTAGAAGTGAACCACTAAATACACCCCACCCTCAAGGGGAGAGGATTAAGCACCATCTTTTGAAGGGAGGAGTGAATTTATTTATGGGAATATGGAATATGAATTCTCTTAATGAATACTGAATATGAGAATTTATGGCAATATTTTTTAAACCACCACATGCTAGTCCCCATTTTCTACAGTTTCACATGTTCTACGTATGTTCTGTATATGCTTTCTTGTGCCAGCTTCCCCTCATGGCTTCTTGTCCAGCCTGGGTCCCACACGACCTGCTCCAAACAGGGCACAGCTGAGGAGAATTGGGTGAGGATGGCTGCCTCAGATCCATAAGGATTTAACCTGGA